TCTCCTCTGGAGTTTCTTGAAGGGTAAGGTTGGCTCACACAGAGCTCTGTGTGTGCTTAGGGTGGCCAACTTCCAAAGGAAAAATCCACCAGCCATGTATGGCAGGAGACTGCTGTTTCTTTATTGGCGATTTTTTAAAATGCTACTTGGCCTGCTGTTTGCTAAGAAAAACTCTGGTGTCTCAATTGTTGGTAGGTAGGGCTGGTTGAAACGGTTTTTGGGTGGAAAATCAGGGGTTTCCATTAAATGACATTTTTCACTAAGTGTCCTCTTCCCACTGAAAATTTTGATTCTTTGTTAAAAAAAAACAACAAAAAAACAAAAAAAAAACCCTTTTTTTTTAAATTTGACTGAATACCAAAATATTTCCTCCAAACCCTGAAATAGATTGATTCGACTATCCTGCCCAGGTATCTCCTGGGACTTGTAGTCTGGTGTCCTCATGTTCCCATTCCCCTCTATGATCCAGACTCCCCAGTTGGACTACACGCCCATGTATGCAGTGTAGTTGTAGCTGGGTTGGTCCCAGGATATTAGAGAGACAATATCTTTTATTGGACCAACTTTTGTTGGTGAGAGAGAGAAGCTTTTGAGCCACAGACGTTGGTCCAATAAAAGATATTACCTCACCCACCTTGTCTTTCTACATCTCCCATGATTCATCGTGGCCAGAGACTCCTATAATGAAAGTGCTTCCCCTCACTATGGTACACCATGGGAAATGTAGTTGGCCTCAAATGGGTGCCTCATGCTCCCATTCTCCTCTATAGCCTGTGCCCCTGAAAGGCCTACAACTCCCATGAGACATGGCGGCAGTATTCAAATTGAAGCATCTTGGTTTTTGACTGACATATTTAGGTTTTTGATTTTTCAGTGAAAAATCAAAATTTTCTGAGGAAAAAAGCCCGTTTTCTGACCACCTCTGACTGTTGACAAATTACCTGTATATAGGCTTGAGAAGCCAATCTTTTCAAAAGTGACTAGTGATTTTAGGTGCCCAATTTGAACTGCTGTCAAGGGGCCTGATTTTTACCAGGAACATGCCGAGCACCTTTTGAAAATCAGGCACATTTAAAGGGTCTCAAACCGGGCACTCAAAATCACTGGTTACTTTTGTACAGCTTGGCCCAAAACAACTTGGAAAATCCATGGGAGATGGATTTGAGCCTTCCTCCCCCACCACCACCACACGAAAAATTTTTACAAAATTTAAATTTAAAAATTTTAGGGTAGGGAGTTGTTTTTTTCTGCTTCTTAATTATATTAGAAGGATCAGGAAGGCCAAGTACGGCCGTCCCTGTTTTTGTTGGAGCACTCATGGGAGGTTTCAGATGCAGACTGAGGTATCTCAAACCCTCAAGTGAAGTGGTGGTGGCATCACATCTTTAACAGATATTTTCTTCCAACTGTTTTCAAGGTGTTTGAGTTAAATGGCTGTTAATAAAATGGTGCAAGAATACGTGAGCGTTGGACTGACTTGGGCTACGCCTGGGCCAACAGTTACTCCCATGCCAAAGACCCTGATACTGTAACTTGTATGTATAACTCTAGGTATATATCCACCCCACTGTACTTTTTAAAAACATACTTGGCTGATTAAGAGGGAAATTGTTGCAATTTGAGGGAAACACGGCCAGACCTGAAAAGCAGAGCAAACAATGTATATTTTTACTTATTAATAATTCCTGACAGATTATTTTTAAAGGTGATTTTGCCTTCAGTGGAGCTAGGCCAATTAATACCAACTGAGGACTGCTGGGGATCGTTTACAGACATAATTAGAGATCCTAACATCCCTGAGAAGTTTGCATCCGCATCCATACACTACAGTTTTGCCCACGTCAGGGGGTAACGCAGGAGTCAGGATGAGAGACAAATCTATAATCCAGAAAACTCCCTTTCTCCTTCCCAGCCACAATCTGCTAGAAGCTGATTCTAGTAATCTATAGGACACTGCCAAGTTCCTAAAGATTCCTTGCCACTGATGTGGCCCAAAAGGACCAGCCTGACTCTTGTTATCTCTCTTTATTAATAATTATTAATTATTATTATTATTATTACCTAATTAGGTTGTCATTCAAAGAATATAACAGACTCCCCAGTTACTCACAGATGAGAGAGCTGCAGAAGGGCAGACGTGTCCACAAGATTGGGATGTCAGCACAAGTTCATTACCCGGCCTTAGTTGGATATTATATCTGTGATCGTGATGAAACAGAAGCAGACAAAATCTCAGGGGAATGGGAACGTCACAAGCAGCATTTCCAGGCTGAAGCCTAAAAGAGATGTCATCGTAACTTCAGAACCAAACCTTCAGAGCCTGGGGCTCTCACCGGACTGATTTTCACACTGTGGGACTCTACTGTCACAGATTATATTAAGTGGAGAAAAAGGCAAAGAATCTACTTTGACTGAGAGGATCGCCTGAAATAATAAGATGGACAAAGCCCACCTCATCACACCCCATCCTGGCCTCTAGACACACACACACACACACACACACACACACCACTTGCTCTCCCAAATACCCTTTGTAACCTTATACTTGCTCCTAAGATCCCCAAAGAGCAGTGCAGCACACTCCCAGACTGACTGCCATTCCATTTTCTTCTGAAACAGTAAAACCGTTTCACTATAACTTGGCTGAAGCATTAACACTCTGGTTTCAGTTTCTTTTATGATAGCCTAGGGCAACTGCCAATTAGGGTCCCCCTAGCCACCCCTGCCCCCTCAGTAGCAACTCCCTGAACTGTCTCATAGTGCAACCCAGACACATAACTCTCCTGTTCTCTGATGAAAAAAATATAAAATAATAATAAACACACCATAGAAAAGATTATTGGAGTTATTTGCCAACAGAAAATGGCAACGAGCCAATCTCTGTTCTCAAATCCACCCTCCTCACCCAGCATCACCACCCTTCCCCAAGCCGTTTCAACCACCATCATTTCTTAAAGTGAAATACACATGATTTTGCCCATTACAGGAATTGTCATAATACGGTTGTTTCAGGCTACCATGTTTGCTCTTAAATGTGTTCAGTTGCAGACAGGAAGGATGTCTGAGGGGATAGGGCAATGGACTTGGACTCAGAAGACCTTATCGTCAATTCCTGCCTCAGCCAGACGCTTCCTTTATGACCTTGGACAAGTCATAGTGATGATCCCGTGCCTCGGTTTCCCATCTGTAAAATAAGGATGCTACATTTTTACCTCACAGGGGTATGTGACGATGAAATCCATTATCGACTGTAAGGTGCTCACATACTATAGTGATGAGGGCCATACATGGACCTAGACAGATACATAAAACCTACCAAATTGTTTACTATTCTTATCTCCCCAGCGTGAAGGTGCTGAATCTTGTAAGTGCCAGCAATCAGTAAAAGCCAGGCATAATGCATTGGATGCAGCTGACAACTGCATTATCCACTGGCATTTGCATGAGATATTATCATTTATCAACTGTGTAGTGCATGAGCAATGGTAGTACATTATAATCAGTGAACAGCGCCAAACATATAACATGTTCCTGCCTTGAAGAGCTTAAAATATGTTTTAAATATGAGCACAAGGACAGAATACTGCTTGGCTTTCCACACATACAGTGTTCAATCAGATACCATGTTAGAATAAGGGGGAAACATCCTTTTCAATATCTTCTGATTGGTTTTTAGTACGGCTGCCTGGAACATTCCCCCCAAACATTTTTTTCAATGATAAAACTATATTATTCCCCCAACTCTATTTTTTCACTACCAAAGTTTTCTCCATTCTGTTGCTCGGAACAGCCGTTTTAGAGAGGCTCTCGCTTTTCAATGTGTTACATGCCCAGGAGATTTGAATCACTTATAACTTATATCACTATTGCACATGTAATTCCCTACACACTTTCTCTCTGTTGCAGGGACTCCTGTAATCAAATCATTAATTAATGAAGCCTTTCATCATCATCCCATATTATCCTTATACCTGAGGGGAAACTGAGACAGAAAGGAAAGTTAAGTGACATGCCCAGTTAAAATTGAACAGGAAGCCTGTTGCATAGACAGGAATAGAACCTGGGTATTTTGTCTCTGAGTGCTGTACTTTAACCACTAGGCAATGCTTGCATATACGGGCATATTAACCCCTTTATTTCTCATATGGTGGCATATATTCCCAACCATTATAAACTGACTTCATACTGCTCTGATGGACAACACTAAGCTCCACTTATGTCACTGACATCATTTACATAGTAACTAGTACTCTTCTAAGGAAGAAAAAAGAGATGGGAAAGACAAGAAGAAAAGCTAAAAAGAAAAGAATAAAACTGGTGAAACAAAAACAAAGCGGTGGTGTGGATGGCTCAATACACTCTCACTCAGAAACATATACATGCACACAAATCTGTACATCAAACCACTAGAATAAACAGACAGATTCCATCTATGAACAACACAAAGATTAGCATCTGAAGAAGTGAGGTTTTTTACCCACGAAAGCTTATGCCCAAATAAATCTGTTAGTCTTTAAGGTGCCACCGGACTCCTTGTTGTTTTTTACAAGCATTAGAATAGATCACTATATGAATGCTAGAGAGAGGGAGAGGGAGAGAGAGAGAATGTTTATTCCCTCATATGCATATATATGTGTAAATATCACACACACACACACACATATATACATGTTGTGCATTATCCACACAGATAATACTTTGCTCAGCTCTTTCATGAGCTTACTGAATCTTAGTCAGGCTTCTGGAAATGAGTCAAAATGTTAAGAGAAAATGGAGAGGGGGAATAAAACCCACTAAGGACATGAAAGCATACGGTAATAACCTGGGAAACACTCAGCCCAATAAACATCTCTCAGCCACGGCCTATTTTAACTCAATTCACAAAAGCTGTGCTTAAACACAGTGTTTGGCCAATCGCGGCGGGCATGGATGTGCAGAAAAAAAGGTGGATCCTGGGTCCTTTGTTGCTAAGGGCGCTCGAGGGTAATTATTCTCCTTACCTTCCAGTTCTTTAAGCCCTCCCGATACCAGCAGATGTCCTGATTTGATTCCCATTTCATCGATCCTGAAGCAAGTTGATGGGGGCAGAGGGCAATGGAAGAGGCTCTCGATAGTTTGACACTCTAGATCCAGGCCGGGAAGAGAAGAAAGGAATTTATTATTACACATTTTAAACATGGAGCCACTCCAAATTTTCATACCAGTTCTTTTCAACCTCTTCAATAAATGGTAGTTTGGTACCTGGACGTCATCTGCAAGTAAGCGGCAATGTAATCTCTCTGGAATAGCAGGATACCATCACACGGAGCATTTTCTCGGTCTTTCAAAGGCAGACTCAACTGAAGCCATCTGACTGCAGCTGCTGAATTCAGACCCGGCATCACCATCAACCGAGAGAGCCCAGACACGTGTTGCAGCTAGGTGCATAAACAGTAATTGCCCGTTTTCCACTGGGCAGCTTCTTAACTAGCTCATGGAGCCCACATGACTTAAGATATTTAGGACAAGGACACGTTATCAAAATCCAGGCTCCCAAAGAAAGTGCCAGCTTTACTACCCCACGCCCCTCCCCACCCCATTGCTCTGTCCGACACCACGTTTACAGTTTGTTTTCTGGTCTGGAAAACACAAAGCTCTGCTAACACTGCAGAGGCAGAGGTATCACCGAGCCAAGAGCGTGGGACCAGGTCCCCAGCCAGCCTCCAATGTTGCAAGCAGCGACAACGATCGGTGAGCAGGTCTGGTTGCTGCTGCCAGCAATTAAATGAGGCTGTAGTGTCCACCAATCTGATCTTTTATAGGGCTTCGTTTATTAGCCGGGTGCCCCTATTTCATAAGGCAGCGTTAGCTAGACGGTGCACACAGGAATGATGAAGATGATGACTATTAGCAGGAGCCCAAGGACACCTTTTCTTAAGCCTCATTCATAGCGGCTGACATGGTAAAACAGCCCAGCAATTGTTCTCTCAAATGTCACCTTTCTGTGTAGGCCACTGTGCAGATAAAACCCTGCTCTCGTTGGGGCTTTTTTCCTTCCCTCCCACCCCCCTTTTAAAAAAAAATAACTGTGCTATCCTTTAACTATCGCCAGAGAAATTCAACCGACCAGGGACTTTTTCGTCTTTTAGGCCCGCCCGCCCCCCTCATCCTTTATTTTCTTCCCCTCCCTTCTTCATGTCGCTTGAACAATCTGGCTCTGTTCTGGGCACATTCTTGCGGCCTATTCTTTGGGTGGCTCATGCAGGGTTCACTCTTAGTGGACGGAGGGTGGGGGGAGGGCAAAACAAGGTCTGCATTCAGGTAGGGGAGGGCAGGAAGGCAAATCTAATGTAATGGGGAATTGTTGTGCCATCAGCTTAATACCTGAGCAGGGGAAACAAAGAACCTTTAGAGAACTTGCTTCTAGGCGGTGACCTCCTCCTCTCCCCCCGAAGGAACTCAAAAAGATAACAAGGACTGAAAGAAACGGCACCAATATAATTAAAGCTATCCAAGCAATTTCTGGGGGTATTAGATATGATGACAGAGAACCAAGCCGTTAATAGTATTCCTGGTATTATTAACATCCACCAGCATGAAGGGACAAGTGGTTTTTTTAAAACTCCTCGTCAAAATTATTCCTCTTGGGAGTGACTCAAAGCAGACGCTCCCAGACCAGGTAGAACACATGGTCATTCCTGGAATGATCCTATATATATAGTCAGCAGGGTGTTTAGTGACTGCAGAGCTGGGGTATTTTCCAGTTCACACAGGTGGTAAATCAGGGGCCTAGTGATGGGAAAGTGTTTGACCTTGATGAGTTTGATCAATTGAGTTTGACCAAGACTCAGCTAGAAAGAGGCTGAAAGTCGCTGCTGTCTGACAGCTGTTTGATGGATTGTGAGAGATGATTTGATGAGGAGGAACTCAGTCCAGTTCTCAGTGTGCAGGTATCTATCATTAAGCCAGCTCATTTGCTGGTAGAGTCAGCAGAGAGGGATTGAATGGACCTTGGAGATAATGTCCATCTAGCAAGCCTAGGGATGCTAGAATAATTTTGGGGCAGCTCGGCCTATTTCAGTGGCCTGCTCATCTCATCATTACATCCAGATGGCCCTAGACCACATTTGGGGGGAGGGATAGCTCAGTGGTTTGAGCATTGGCCTGCTAAACCCAGGGTTGTGAGTTCAACTCTAGACCACATTTGTGGACATAGCAGTAGGACGCTTTATCAACACCTCATAGCTAACGTGAAGTGCCCCTGGTGTGGGAATGGGAGAGGCATACGAGCCAAGAAAACAATAAAGAATGGAAAAACATACAGTAGGTCAGTTCTGAAAAAGGCTGGATACTTACATTAACCATAACAACATTTGCAGTTATACAGGTTAAAATGAAGATAGTTAAATGTCATGCTCCAGGGCACAAACTGATTCCCACCAGGGTCAGGAAGGTATTTCCCCATAAGTACAGCATTGCTCAACTGGCTAGGTAGTTTACAGGAGAGAGGAAGGGTCACTTTCCTGTGAAATATGAGGTACTGTCCTCTACCAGTCACAAAACATAAAACTGGCTAGATCATCGTTCTGCTTGCGGATGGGAAATAAGCACCCAGAGGCTGATCCAAAACCCATTGAAGTCACTGGGAGTCTTTCCATTGACATCACTGGGTATTGAGATCAGTAGGGTTGCAATCTCTGCACAATGTGTATGGTAGTCCCTGTAGGCTCCCTTATGCTATAGCCCTGGGTCTCCAAGGCTGTGACATGCAATGTGGACTTTGAATGAAAAACATTAATAACATTAACTTCTCTGGGAGTTTTATCCCCAATGATATCATGTCAGTCTGAAGTGATTCAAGCCAGGGCAGGATGGCTTTGGAACAAGTCTAAATGGGTGTGAGAGATTCACTTGAACAAAAGGATAGGCCAGGTAGTTAAAGGACTTCAAATAAAGTCCAGAATCAAGCCATTCATCGCTTTATTAATCAGTCTCCTCCTCCGTCCAATTTAATTTCAGACCAATACGTTTCAAGCTAGCAGCATAGCTCTCTCCCACCTCTGTTCTAGGTGTCAATCCCCACTACCTTCCCCAATGTTCTCTACTGAAGAGATCCCATTGGATTCCATACTATTATAACAGGGTAGGCACAAAAGCCTTCTATCTTCCTCACTATCTGAGCACTGCGTGTGCTCCTGGTTCAAACCATCTTTCCTGTGTGTTGCCAAAAGCATTAGACGCTTTTTCCATAGGGCCTCCCCTTCGTTTTTGGGCCAGTGTTTAAAGGGATACCGTCAGCTCTTTGGGAACCGTCACTTGGACAAAGCATTTCTGACCCAACTAAACTGAGCACCTGAGCCACTTACACATCATCTGTGATTTTGTTTAGTGGTTAAACAAATCTCATCCACAGGCTTGAAAATGGGCTTTTTGCAAATATCTCAGTGTTACTAGCTCTCGCAATTTTATCGTCAGTCTCATGGTTGGATGTTTCTCTTAAAGCTCCAGCTGATGGAATCAGATTCTTTGAAAATCTCAGCTTTCGTTTAAAAAAAAAATGGTTTCTAGCCCGCTGGCTTGCAGAGAAAAATCTTGAAAACATGAAGCAAATGCAGCCTAAAGGCTCACACACTGAAAGGCAAATAAGAAAAATAACCCAACCTTTATTGTTTTTAAAAAAAACTCATGATTTTCAAGCAAATCTCATGATGGGGGGGACGCTCGAATCATAACTTTTGAATATTTGGGGTTGATGATACTCATACCGGTACATTTTCCTGCTTGGTCTGCAGCAACGTGAGCTTGTTAACCTGTCAGGCTCATCAAAGCAAGGCTCGTGTTTTCTGCTTGCAGCACAGGGAGTCAAGGGATTGGGGAAATTGGTGTAGAAGACGTTGGGGAGCTAGTGTTCTCTATAAGTAATCACCAGCGTCGGATTATGTATGAAGGGTCTCCCAAACGGTGTACTGGCCACTTTTTTATGTAGGATAGTACGAAGCTAAATAACTGTTGCTTGCACAATAACGTTAACAAAAAAGGAGCAGTGAACAATGTGAAATGAAGTGAAATCCTACTTAGAGGTCACCAAAAACGTTTGCAAATAGTTTTCGTCACTCTTCACCCAGCTCCACTGCTACTTAAAGCCAAATTCCAAACTGGTCCAGTTGCATAATATAATTAATAGTCAGTTAAGCTCATGCTGTTATGCAAGAAAACTTGAGGTACTTTCTGCTCCAATTTCAGCTCTTCCTAATCAATGTTTTTCTGGACTGGAGTTCACACTGTTTGCCTTGCTCTGCACTCAGTGTATAACCTCATTAAGCAAAAGCATAAAGTCTGTTATTTATTTATTCCACATGATAAAACCAGGATATTACTCACAGTGATAACATGGGTTAATTTTCAGTGAAGTCTCTTTTGGCAGCAGGTGGCAAACTTTTAATACAATGAATAACACTCCTATCAGATCCAAGATAAAAGGCTGTCATATCATAAACTCATTTTGCTCTTTGGGCCAGTAACATTAGACTTCAAGGTGCTGTAATTATCTTCCATTGATTTTTATTTATTTATTTTTTATTGTTACTCATAAAAAACGAAGCGTAAAATTCAATTAGTTCAAGAAGATTTGGTGTGAGCTTGGACGCTAAGGTGTAATAGGTGTCTATACAATGTAATTTAAGGGCACCACCCTGCCAACTGACTACTATGTACATCCTCCAGAGCTATTTCTGCTGGAAGAAGGGGTGTTTGCAGGAGCCCTGGCTGGGGATGTCCGTAATGGGAGCAAAGTTCACACCACACCAGGAGAACGGAACATCTGAAGTGCACTAGGACAGCAGTGATAAGCTCCATTGACAACCCAGCATGCCCTGCTTCTCTCTTAGAATAGAGGTTACGAGCCCTCACGGTGGAAACCACTTGGGATACATGACAGGTAACTAGCCCTTCCCAAATGTTTCCTCCAGTAACAGCCCTCACTCTAACCTGTTATTGCAGAATGAAACATGGAGGCGGCAGGGCCCAGTGGACGGCTTGGGACGTAGGACACCTGGGTTCTAGCCCTGGCTCGGCCCTTTGGGCTACTTACTCCCCTTTCTATGCCTCAGTTTCCCCAGCTGCCAACTGGAAATAATGACACTGA